TATATATGTATATTGTTATGCATCGTGGTGAAATCAGGCACTCTTCAAAATAATGAAATCAAAGAAACTGGCTTTTCTCTGTTCGTTTTGCAATTTTAATAGAATTTTTGTTTTTTGACTCATCTTCAAATAAAATAATAATAATAGATAGCATTTGCATAGCGCAAATCCCCGCTCATCAGCAAGCTCTATGCGCTTCACAATCTATACTATTACCCCAGCAGACCTGAAAGCATTCTGAAACAAACTCAACTTCCTGGGAAGTATATAGTGCAAGCAGCCATTTATAGGCGCTAAAACACTAACATACTGACAAGATCTTTCGCTGCCTATGGCCGGGTACCCATTTCCACCTGGGTGAAGTGAGGAAAATTCGCGTAAAGTGCCTTTCGCAAAGACACAACGTCGGGCCAGCGGCTCGAACCCCCGACTCCGCAACCTCACGATTACGAGTCCAGTAGCCTAACCACTAGGCCACCGACGCCACAAGGTCCATTTAAAAACACAATTCCGTGTGGATTATACTGAAAAATACTGATGTAAGGCAAAACGTTTTCAGTTTCTAAGGACTCTCCAGATTTGAAAGTCGCCAAACTGTGACATCCATTTTCTCGGTAATTTTATCTCTGACACCAGGCGATCGCCTCCTCCTTCAATCGCAAATGTCTCGACTTCAATTCATGATAGATGCGTTTTATTTTAACCGAAAGCAAGACAAATTAACAAGCTTTAAAATGATACCAATAACTCCACATGTCCAAAAACTGACCAGCGCCTGATTCCATCGCGTCGTGCCTATTAAGAGTGAAACAGTATTTTTACGAATAAAAATGGTGTAAGTTACTGTAAGACGCAGTACTTAAAAAGTAAGTATGTGTATTTTAAGGCATCAGCGACACAATGTAGGTCGTTTAGGAAACGGGCCGAATCAACCCTGCCTGTGAGAGCTAGCCGAGTCTAAAAGGGATAGAGAGAGAGAGAGAGAGAGAGAGAGAGAGAGAGAGAGAGAGAGAGAGAGAGAGTTTTAAAGAAAAGACGAAAAGACCTTTTTTCAGATAGATTTTTTCTTCTGTTTCTGACAAAGACAGCTAAGCTCCTCCTACAGTGCTTTGTTTCTTTGTCACTTAACTTCGGAATGCAGGCGCCTGTTATGCAGTAGTAAGGTCTTTGGATATCGAAGTCCTCAGTTCTCTGTCTGCTTGGATGTTATATTATGTTGAATTGGCCGTGGCAGACATGATCTAAGCAGCCAGCCTCCTAAATCATCTAAACTATGTCGACAACGCCTTAAAATATCAAGTATAAAACATTTTTAAATAATATATTAGATAGTTTTAATTCAGCAAACCACAGCGATGTCGTGTTGGATTTTTATATAAGGCAATTCGTAAACTCTTAGTCCCGGAGTTAATTTACTGTAGCTAAAGAGAAATTTCAACTTAAATACATCTAATCTGATCTTCACTGAGTCTCAAAGTCATTGTTGTAAATGCCACTGTATAGGATATCTAAGGGTTGAATAACATGTAATTATTTGAGGAAATATTAACTCTCATAGTTCATCTTCGTCAAATGTGTATGCCTTGTATGTATAATAATATGTCAGGCTCTCGTCAGTTTTTTTAATGTGGAGTAATTGGTTTCACCTAAAAGCTTATCTATTTACCTTGCTTTCAGTGAAAAAGTACCCACCTATCTTAAATAGAAGTCAAGATATTTACAATTGAAAGAGGTGAGGTCGCCGTTTTTTCAGTGGTGAAGTTACCGAGAAAATGGCCACTCAAGTTTGGTAACTTCAATAGCTAAAGAGTCCTTGAAAACAAAAAAAAGAGACATTTTTGTGCCTTTAATCAACGTTTTTCAGTGAAATTCACATGGAAATGTTTTTATACGGACATAAATGGGGTTGAGCCAAAAAAATAAAATTCGATAAAAATTGCCAAACTGCCCTGAAAATGACTGTTTCTCCAGTTTCGGTTTTTTGACGAGCGCCTGATTTCACCATCCTGCCTCACATATGTCCTTTGATTTTCCCTATTACGTGATTGTTGTTTATGGAGGGAGTGCTTGGGAGTAAGAGTGACTGACGGAGTGGAGTGAGTATATGAATGAGGGAGGGAGGGAATGTATGAATGATAAAGCATGTGATGCGTTGCTAAGATGCCGTGTATGCATAGTTTCTGTCGCAGAGGCTTAGTAAAAGCAGACTTTCAAGTTTTTTGTTTTTGTTTTGATTTTTTTAAAGAAGTAGGAACAATAAAGAATGTCTTATGTTATCATTTTATTTTTCTAAAATAAGTATTTTCAAATATAAAAGCAGGTGAACAACAACAAAAACAAACAATATTCGAGGTTTTTCCTGGAAGACGAAGCAGCCTCTATCTGTAACCAGGCAGCAGAGCGTTTTTGTTCAAATGAGAAACTGAATAAACATGTGTTGTCATCACCAAATAACCTGCACATGTCCATAATGTTTTCCTGTTGGTAGTGAGCCGGTGCTCTGGTGTGGACCCTCCTTTTTTCCTATGAAACATCAGTCATCGTTTTCTCGTTCCTTCTTTTTTCGGTGTGTTTGTTACTCATTTTAGCACCTCTAGCTCTGATCTTCTGCACTTATTATATGTATGGTCTAACTATGCTGCTAATGCTGTAAAACTCTAACTAAAACAAACGTTTGTGTGCGCCTGTCATGCAAAGGAAACGGAGTTGCTCCAGAAGCGATGTTGCTCAGGCTAACGCTTATTGCTGTCAAAATGTTTTGGCCCCACCCCTAAAAAAAAAAAACATTAAACATTAAAAATTCGACATAATTTCGTAACCGGCGTCTGTGGTGTAGCGGAAAATCGCTTCGCTATCGCACGAAGGAGACTCGAGTTCCAAACTCGAGTGGGAAGAATATTGTTCGAGATTCTCGGTCTTTCTGCTGGGATCCTGTATCCTTCTCAGCTCGGACTGGCCTTGGGAGACAGGTTTGAAGCTACCCTAATTGGCCCTAGTAGGGGCAGGTCGAAGCCAGAGTCCTAAATGATCTAAATTGTGACGATGGGGACGTAAACTACATTTTTTGGTTCCGCTCGAGTTGAATAGGATACATAAATATTTCCCTAACATAAACAATGTCTCTATCACACCTGTAAAATAAAACACACCCATACACCTTCCTTGATTCCAAACCTATTCACAATGTCCCTCCTTTCGGAGCATATCAAGGAAGTCCAGTTCTCAAAAGGAGGGAAGAAGCACTTGGACAATCTACATCCAATGTCATGTCAGCCGTGCAAGCTATGGAACCGTTCACAAATGACGTCAGCTCAGAGGGGCGGGG